TCTACATTTCAACAGTTCTGCTAAAAAATGATAGGTACATTTACAGCTACAATCAGGGCACGCATTCTGGATACCATATCTTGACGTTTCATTAATTTTGAGTTAATTCCGTTTTCCTAGCCATCCCTTCTGTCTTCACCTTCCCTTGTCTCTCTGGACAAGCGTCACTGGCCATTCAAGTTCTAAATACGAAAGCTTCTTCACGGTAGGAAATACATGTGCCTGCTCAGGGACATCACAGCCCCTGCAGATGGGGAGAACCAGGCGCTGAGGCTGATGAGCTCCCGAGCAAAACCCCCAGGCTGGGCTCAGCATCTCACGGCCAGTGGGAGGTCAGCACCAGCTCTCACCAGGCCCTGCAAAGGGTCCCATGCCCATCCCAGCCCAGCAGTTCCCTAGTCTAGAAGGTCATGCCAAGCCCCTTGAGGCTGGCAAGAAACAGTGGAAAGTTTGGGTAGAACCCTACCGTTGAGCATAGACACAACCCCGGGTGGTGACCTTGTGCCGATTTTTATCTGTGATTGATAAGGAGAAAGTTTTTTTTGTTTTTGTTTTGTTTTTTGAGTTGGAGTCTCACCTGCTGGGCTCCGGCAATCGTTCCGCCTCAGCCTTCCAAGTAGCTGGAACTACAGGTACGCACTACCACGCCTGGCTGATTTTTTTATTTATTGTAGAGATGAGGTCTCGCCAAGTTGCCCAGGCGGGTCCCGAACCCGCGGGCTCAGGCAATCCACTCGTCTCAGCCTCCCAGGGCGCGGGATTACAGGCTGAGCCACCGAGCCCAGCTGTATCTGTACATTTTTAATGCCAGAGATTGTGTCACTTTAATCGCCTAAAGGTCATTAGCTGACATAATGAAGACAAAACTGGCCCATGTGCACATCCCTTCCATGGCACTACACTGCCTTCACCTAGCCCGGGAGATATGGCTGACTGTGAAAAGCCTGGAAGCATGTACAGCGCAATCTCAAGAGCTTGGTGCCACACCCCCATGGTCTTATGAAACTGTCCCAGATATCTAGGAGCTGGGCCTTTCAAACTGTGCCAGCAACATGTCATCCAACATACAGACACCCCAACTCAAATTGTGCTTCTGCCCTGAAAGACCCCTCGGCAGCGTGTGTTCTATCATGGGAGCTAGTCAGGGCTGCAACGTTGCTGAGACAATTTCGCCAGTGCGTCCCATGGCGTGGGGAGTGCTGCATGACTGGCCCAGTGTTGTTCTTCACAAATGAGGGCAACAGCCCAATCCCCAAACACCACGTGAGACGCAGGTGGAGGGCTTTCCAGAACAACCAGTGGGCTGGCCAGCCCAGCAAGGATGGAGGGTGTAGAAGCCAGCTGCTCCATCCTGGGCCAGGTTCTGTATCCCAGGAGGTTTCTAGCTGCCCCTACAAAGCAACCTGGTCTTGCTCTTACTGCTACTGGCAGTAAGAAGTGAGAAGTAACATGTCATTTGGTGACCACAATTCTGGTTTTAATTGCTGGGTTCTGGAAAGCTAAAAAAAAAAGCAAATGAAGAGGCCAAATGCTGAAACAAAAACCTCACTGGACGAGGATTTACAACAGCAAGAAGCCATCCTGTTCTTACCTTTCAGTAATGATGCAGCTGCAAAAAGGGTGAGGGTGATCTGGGGGGGCAAACAAAAAGAAACCAAACCACCTTAGGAAAATAGATCTTCTAACTTTGTTTTTTAAAAAATAGGTAGCTTGATGCTAAAGCCAAGATACAATGCAGGATTAAGAAATTAATACTAGCCAGGCTCGGTGGCTCAGCCCGTAATTTGCGCTTTGGGAAGCTGAGGTGAGTGGATTGCCTGAGCCCGTGGGTTTGGGACTTGCCTGGGCAACTTGGCAAGACCTCATCTCTACAATCAATCAAAAATCAGCCAGGCGTGGTAGTGCGCACCTGTAGTTCCAGCTACTTGGAAGGCTGAGGCGGAAGGATCGCCAGAGCCCAGCAGGTCGAGGCTGCAGTGGCCGCAACCGGCCACTGCACTCCAGTCTGGGCGACTGAGTGAGACGCCAACTCAAAAAAAAAAAAAAAAGAAATTAATACTGCAGGCATAGGGCTCATGCCTGTAATCCCAGCACTTTGGGAGGCAGAAGCGAGTATTGCCTGAGCTCGGGGGTTCAAGACCAGCCTGAGAAACATAGCAAGACCTCATTTCTATAATAAATCAAAAAATTAGCCAGACATGGTGGCACATGCCTGTGGTTCCAGCTACTTGGAAGGCTGAGGCAGAAGGATCGCCTGAGTCCAGTAGGTCAAGGCTGCAGTGGCCGTGAGTGTGCCACTGCACAACAGCCTGGGCAACAGAGTGAGACTTCAACTCAAAAAAAAAAACACAAAAAAACGAAGCTGGCCATAAAGTCATTCTCAAAGACAAAAAAATCCAAATGCCTCTGTGGATTCTCACTGCAGGAAAACTAGCACGTGGGCGACTTTATCTAATACATGAAGAACCGTCTTTATGTGGCCGTCTCCTGCCGTGACCTACTGAATTGCACCCTCTCAGCATCTTTTGCACTCATCCCTCTGGAGCCATGACGCCCCACTTTCCAGCGGAAGCCTCAGGTGTTCAGGCTCACTTCTCTGTTGCCTTTCTCAAGCTGAAGACTGGATTCCGTATCCAAGTGAGGACCCAGTTGGGGACAGGGAAAGGGGCTGGGTGGATAGCAAGGGCGGGCAGGCCGGAGGCGCACAGCTTCTCAGTTCGTGAGATGAGAGCTGCCCGTGGGTCCAAAAAGATGCCTGATGCTCCGTGCAAGGAGCCTGCCCAGTGTCCTCTAGTTCTGGGCCTCAGCAAAGGAAGCATTAAACATGCTGTTCCAGGCCGGGCGCAGTGACTCACGCCTATAATCCCAGCAGTTTGGGAGGCCGAGGTGAGAGGATTGCCTGAGCCTGCCAGTTTGAGACCAGCTTGGGCAACTTGATGAGACCTCATCGGTTTTACAATAAATGAGAACACTTGCCGGGTGTGGTGGCACGTGCCTGTGGTTCCAGCTACTTGGAAGGCTGAGGTGGAAGGATCGCCAGAGCTGAGCATGCCACTGCACTCTAGATTGCGACTTCAAAAAGGAAAATAAAATGCTGTTCCAGGGAGGGACGCTCAAACCCAACAAATCTGCAAAAGGCAAACATTGAGGAACTGGGGGAGAAGGTCCATGGAAACTTGTTACCACTGACTTGAAGTTTTTTTTGAGTTGGAGTCTCACTCTGTCGCCCAGACTGGAGTGCAGTGGCCTCTCCCGGCCACCGCAGCCTCGACCTGCTGGGCTCCGGTGATCTCTCTGCCTCAGCCTTCCGAGTAGCCGGAATTACAGGCACGCACTACCACGCCTGGCTAATTTTTTTATTTATTGTAGAGATGAGGTCTTGCTGCCCAGGCAGGTCTCGAACCCTCAGGCTCAGGCAACCCACTCACCTCAGCCTCCCAAAGGAATGGGATTACAGGCTGAGCCACCGAGCCTGGTTCTTGAAGTCTTTCTTAACACTGCCCTCAAGTCAACACAGCTGTTCCCTGAAGGGCTCCTGCTGCTGACACCGTGGGTCCTACTCAGAATCCAGCCCCCATTCTGGTGACAGAACAGCCATCCTTGGAGTTAGGGTAACAACACACATGGCCAAGAGCACTCAGGTGTCACACTAGAAGATATGGCTGGACACAGTGGCTCACGTCTATAATCCCAGCATATGGGAGGCTGAGGTGGGAGGGTTGCTTAAGCAAAGGAATTTGAGACCAGCCTAGGCAATACAGTAAGACCTCATCCTTCCCCAAAATACCAAATTTGCTGGGCATGTTTGGTGGCAAGTGTCTGCAGTCACAGCTACTCTCAAGCATCACTTGAGCCCAGGAGGTCAAGGCAGCAGAGAGCCAGAATTGTACCACTGCATTTCATCCTGGACAAGAAAGTGAGACCGCAACTCAAAAAAATTAAAAAATAGGCCAGGCACAGTGGCTCATACTTGTAATTCCAGCACTTTGGGAAATGAAGGGGAGAGGATTGCCTGAACCTAGGGGTTCAAGACCAGCCTGGGCAACTTGGCAAAACTTCATCTCTACAATAAAAAACATAAAATAAAATAAGCTGGGCATGGTGATACATGCCTGAGGTTCCAGCCACTTGGGAGGCTGAGGCGGATCACCTGAGCCCCGCAGGTCAAGGCTGTAGTGAAGCACGATCATGCCACTGCACTCTAGCCTGGGCAATAGTGACAGTCCAATTCTAAATAAATAAAGGGAAGACACCATATTTGACCCTCACCAACAAATCAGACCCTCTGGTCATCACTCCCAGGTGAAACCAACATGCAAGTCAGAACTCACCTTGGAAACTGTCAGCCTTGAAGGATGGAAGAATGAATTTCACTTGCAGCCCCAGGATTTATGATTAAGATTTGTAAGCCGGGTTTGGTGACTCAGCCTGTAATCCCGCGCCTTTGGGAGGCTGAGGTGAGTGGAATGCCTGAGCCTGCGGGTTCAAGACCCACCTGGGCAACTTGGCGAGACCTCGTCTCTACGATAAGTCAAAAATTAGCTGGGTGTGGTAGCGCACACCTGTAGTTCCAGCTACTCGGAAGGCTGAGGTGGAAGGATCGCCGGAGTCCAGCAGGTCGAGGCTGCAGTGGCCGGGAGTGTCCACTGCACTCCAGTGTGGGCAACAGAGTGAGACTCCGACTCAAAAAAAAAAAAAAAGAAAAAAAGATTTGTAGCCCATCTCCCTGGGCAATGAGACTTGAGTCGTCACTGGACTTCTGCAAAAGCTTCAAAGATTTTTTTTTCTGGCTGGAGTAAAAAGGATATGAAGTCTGTGCCAACAAGCCTCAAAATCAGGCGGGAAGACAGTTGTCGCCTGTGTCCTTGATGGGGTCAAAAACCTCACCTCAAGTGAAGACAGCAGCCAGGACTGCCTCTGGCTAACCCCACAGCACAGGGGAGCTGCCCTTCACTGGTAGCACTGAGAGCCCCCAATCAAACAGCCACACTTAGCCATGGTGAAGTAAAGAAAGGGGGGACTTTAATCTTTATTTACAGGACATTGCAAGATAGGAAATTCCACATAGAAATAAGAAACCCATTTGGAGGACAAGCTTCATACAGTATGTACAGTTTGGAACTGTTCAAGTATAGTTTTGATGAAAAAAGTGCTACAATAACAAACCACGTTTAAAAACAGTTCTTAGCAGAGACACAGTAAGACAAACTTCTACCAAACAGCACACAACCAACAGCTTTCCGCCTCAGATGGACAGCCTAAAAGTTAAAAGTCCCAGTAGTCCCATCCTGAACTTGGAAGGTGTAGCCTTCAGAGGTAGTTTCAGGCACAACATTTTGATCTTCCTCTTCCTGGAAATATTTAAAAGACAAACATAACATACATAAAACCACAGAGACTCCCCGCAGAAGCCTGCCTGGACTCTTGAGGGTCCCCATGCATCTTGCCTTTCCTTGCTCCATGCTCTATTATTTGATAGAGGGAGGGAGGCTCCTGAAACTGCCAGTTCCCAGTGCCCAGGAGGGGAGGGGACGCACAGCTACCACGGGACAGAACCTCTCAGCAGGAAGGGAGACTGCTCACTGGGCAGAGAATGGTGAGGGTAGGCCACGCCACCACAGACTCATTCCCAAGACCCGCAAGAGCACCCACTTGAAAGTCAACTGGGACCGGGCTCAGTGGCTCAGCCTGTCATCCCAGCACTTTAGGAGGCTGAGGCAAGTGGACTGCCTGAGCCCGCGGGTTTGAGACCAGCCCAGGTAACTTGGCGAGACTTGTCTCTATAATAAATGAAAAATTAGCCGGGCATGGTAGTGTGTGCCTGTGGTTCCAGCTACTTGGAAGGATCACCAGAGCCCAGCAGGTCGACACTGGGGTGGCCGTGAGCGTGCCACTGCACTCCAGCCCGGGCGACGGAGTGAGACTCCCAACTCAAAAAAACAAAACAAAAGAAAGTCAACTGGCGAATCTTTAAATCTCAGTTTAAAAGACTGTCGTTATCATCAGGCCAAACAGAGGCATAAACAAGAAGTCTGTCCTACACACGCTGATATTTTGCTGTATTTGAGGATATAAGGCTCATTTTAAAGTATGAGAAAAACATCTCGTGGCTTGGCCTTCCCTGTGTATTTCCCAACATGCTAGCATACCATCCATTACTCACCTCTACAGAGAAATACTTCTCAATCAAGTTTAATGAAGCCTTGTACACAGATTCATTTTCATGGTTTTGCAGAGCCTCAATTTTGTCCAAGCCTCCACATTCTTCAATCATTATACTAAGCTTCTCAGTTTCACCTAGTTTCTCAGCAGCCTAAAAAAAAAAATTCCAAGTGTACTACTGGTTTATGCTCCAAATGTTGTTTTAATGAAGAAAACGTCTACAATTCAAATACTGATATGTGTCAGACATAATTAAGCACTAAACACTTTCTTCAACAATCATGATAGTTTTATGTCCATTTTACATTTTTTTTTTTGTCACCCAGGCTGGAGAGCAGTGGCATGTTCAAAGATAACCACAGCCTAGACCTGCTAAGCTCAGGCTTTCTGCCTCAGCCTTCCCAGTAGCTGGAACTACAGGCACGTGCCTCCACGCCCAGTTAATCTATTTATTGTAGAGACAGGTTCTCGCCATGTTGCTCAGGCTGGGTAAAACTCTTGCCTCCACCATGTAACGTGCTGGGATTATAGGCGTGAGCCACCACACCTGGCTAATTTTTAAATTTATTGTAAAGACAAGGTCCTGCCATGTTGCCCAGGCTGGTCTCAAACCCTTGGGGGGGGTTCAGGCAGTCCTCTCGCCTCTGCCCAGACCCATTTTCCATTTTTTTGATACTCGGCATGATCAGATCTGTACCTGTTCTTAGCAACTACTCAACTCTTATTTTCAGCCAGAGATCTTAGAATAATAGCTCTCAACCTTTTCTGTGCATCAAAATCATTTTGGTAATGTTTAAAATAACACTACATCCCAGTTCAATCAGCCTGTTATGGGAACAGGGAATTATTCTGTAAAAGCACTTTCTCAAAGTGCAGAAGGGTGTCAAAGGGCAAAAATGGCCTATAGAATGCTAAAAACAGATCTCCCTGACTACAGTACTTATTGGTATAAAAACACTGAGTATAAGAGATAGCAGCTGGGCTCGGTGGCTCAGCCTGTCATCCTGCACTTTGGGAGGCCAAGGCGAGTGGACTGCCTGAGCCCGCGGGTTCGAAACCCGCCTGGGCAACTTGGCGAGACCTCATCTCTACCATAAATCAAAAATTAGCCGGGCATGGTAGCGGGTGCCTGTAGTTCCAGCTACTTGGAAGGCTGAAGCGGAAGGATTGCCGGAGCCCAGCAGGTCGAGGCTGCGATGGCCGGGAGCGGCCATTGCACTTGGTCTGGGCGACAGAGTGAGACTCCAACTCAAAAAAAAAAGGAAATGGCATGAAGGTTAGACTTTTTGTTTTAAATTTCTCAACTTTAAAAGACACATAAATATTCACAAATGAAACACACTTGCTTCAAAATATGGCTCACGCCTGTAATTCCAGCACTTTGGGAGGCAGAGGCGAGAGGATGACCTCAGCCCATGGGTTCAAGACCAGCCTGGGTAAGATGGCAAAATCTTATCTCAGCAGTAAATAAAAAAAATCAGTTGGGCACTGTGGCACACCCCTGTGGTTCCAGCTACTCGGAAGGCTGAAGCGGAAGGATCGCCTGAACCCAGCAGGTCGAGGCTGCAGTGGCTGTGAACATGCCACTGTACTCCAGCCTGGGTGACAGAGTGCGACTCCAACTCAAAAAGAGAGAGAGAGAGACAAAAAGGTGTGCCAGGCCACACAGGACTTGCTGTCCACTCGGGTCGTGTCCTCCACCTGTCATCTCCTTTAGCGTCCCAATCACTTGTTTTATCAAAAGCGTGGTTTCTGATTCTTAGCTGCCTCCCTCCACCAGCCTCAAGAGTAAACCAATTATTACAGAGCCTAACTTCAAACAAAGCCTCTTTGCTAATAAGACTTACTTGAAAGACATTTGTAATGGCATCCAGAATGACCAGGATAATTTTGGTGTCTTTTGCAGTTAAGAGGTTCATCAGCGGCTCTATTATGCCACAGTGAACGAGGTAAACGATCTGCTCAACGGTCCCACCGCTGGTGTAGTTGGTCACTGCCCAGACTGCTTCCTTCTGTGTCTTAAAGTCTGCCTAATTAATATAAGGAAATGATTTATGTCAGAACAGCTGTATAAATAAGATCCCGAAAGTACTGTTTCACAAAAACAATAACTTAAAGTACTAATGGGTTCTGTCCAACCTTATGTGAAAGGAGTTACCGGCCGTTACTCAGCAAAGGACTCTTAAGTGAAACCCAACATTGCCTACCAAGAATCTTACCAAGCTCAGGTTGTACACAAATACACACAAAAAAATCCCCTGACTAAAGCTCAAGACCTTTTTACCTTTGAGAGGATGCTGACGAGGAATGGGACTAACCCATGGTTCACAACCTGCTGTATCTGGTCCTGACGGCCCGCAGCAATGTTGGACAGCGCCCACGTGGCTTCCTTCTGAATGTTACTCTTGGAGTTGGTTAGTAGGCTGGGAAAGACAGCAAGTGCTCCAGCATCGATCACAACCTGAGTCTGCTCGTCCGTCCCAGTGACAATATTCCCTATGGCCCTCAGGGCCGGAGTCTGAAAAGAAGCACAACGTTGACGCTGGCGGGTTACCTTTTGGCCTAGCACTTCTGAAAAAATGTGTACCTGGCCAGATGTGGTGGCTCACGCCTTTCATCCCAACACTTTGGGAGTCTAAGGCAAGAGAATGCCTGAGCCCAGGGGTTTAAGACCAGCCTGGACAACTTGGCAAGACCTCATCTCTACAATAAATCAAAAAATTACCTGGACATGGTGGCGCAGACCTGTGGTTCCAGCTACTTGGAGGACTGCAGCAGAAGGATCGCCTGAAGCCAGTGGGCCGAGGCCACGGTGGCCATGAGCGTGCCAGTGCACTCCAGCCAGGGCGACAGAGTGAGACCCCGACTCAAAAATAATAACCCAAAAGAACTCTGTGCCCTCAAAGTTTTGACCAGAAATCCCTCATGGCCTGAAACAGGCAGTATGTCAATATTAACATCCACTGCTTATGCTCTTATGTAAGCACACCCATACCCTCATCTGTGAGTAAACCACTTACCACAATTGGCAATTCAGTTGCTCCAAGGAGCTTCACAAGTTGCGGCACTACTCCTGTTTTCACGACCATCTCAATCCGTTCATTCGGACCATCCGTAAGGTAGGAGATGGCCCAGCAGGTGTCTGCCAACACCTCTGGATCATCGTGATGCAGGAGACTGACCAGAGTGGGAAGAACCTGCTCCACAGCATCAACTGGGGGGGCGGGATTCTTATTGCGACAGAGGTTGGAGAGCGTCCAGGTGAGATTCCGCAGGTAGCCACACTAGGGAGAGAAGTGAGCCGTGAGGGTTCTGTCTTCGAGAAGACAGGGAGAATCGCGACACGAGCAACTTCATGGACAGGAGTAACTTACGGCCAAGGATGACATGTCAGGAACCGCAAGAAGAGCCAACAGCGGGTCAACAGCACCATACTTGATCACCAAGTCTCGGAAAACAGAACCGTCACCTGGAAGAAAGGCCACGCAAACTGCAGCTTCCTGTCTGGTTCTTTCATCCCCAGCGGAATGCCCCAAACAACTCAGATGTCTCTCTGGTACCCTGTAAAGAGGCCGCTTTCATCCCTGGCAAGGGCCTGAAGCAAGCCCAACATGTGACACGAGTCACTATTGCTCAGAGCAAGGCCCTCCTTCCCACTCATTGCTGGACCCATCAGGTAGAACTTTCCTCCAAGTACCTGCGATGTTTCCCAGTGCCCACACGGCCTGCTCGCTGATGTGCGCGTGGGGAGATGCCAACAGGGAGATGAACGCCGGGATGGCGCCTCCCTCCACCACAGCCTTGGTCTGCTCGGACGTCCCAGAAGCAATGTTCGTGAGGGCCCAGGCAGACTCGAACTGAATGGGGCTACAGTCAGTTCTGCCCAAGAAGGACACAAACTTTGGAATCAAACCAGCCCGGATTATGTTGTCAATGGGCGGCTGTTTTTCTCTCGAAAGCAGTTTCCTAAGGGAAACAAAAAGAGAAACAGAAGTCGAAGGTGGTTCATGAAAGTACTTTGTGTAAAAGCCATTTTATAATGCAACTCAAGAGTTTAAAGCTTAAAACAGGCAGCCTTTTAAGTGAAGCAATAAAATGCAGAGACGTCCTGGAACTTAAGAGAAGCCGAACAGATTACTTGCACGGTGCAACATGTGTGGCAGTTACCTACCACTTGTCCAAAAGTGAAGCACTGATGGCAATAGAGATTTCCCTCCTCTCTGCATCCCTGCAGAGACCTGCCATCTACCTTGTCACTATTTTGAACACTTTTGGCCATCTGACAAGGTTGTACTCTCATTGTTAATCTGCATCCACATGACTGCTAGTGAGGTTAAAAACCTTTTCAGTGATAATTTGCCTTTAAATGTGTTCTTCGCCGAGCTCAGTGGTTCAGCCTGTAATCCCGCGCCTCTGGGAAGCTGAGGTGAGTGGATTGCCTGAGCCCGCGGGTTCAAGACCTGCCTGGGCAGGCGAGACCTCATCTCTACAATAAATCAAAAAAATTAGCCGGGCGAAAAAGGGTTCTTCTGCACACTGTCAAGCTACAGAAATCTTTTTTTTTTTTTTGAGTTGGAGTCTCACTCTGTTGCCCAGACTAGAGTGCAGTGGCTCTCCCAGCCACCGCAGCCTCTACCTGCTGGGCTCTCGGGATCATTCCGCCTCAGTCTTCCAAGTAGCTGGAAGTACAGGCACGAGCTGCCACACCCGGCTCATTTTTTGATTTATTATAGAGATGAGGTCTCGTCAAGTTGCCCAGGAGGGTCTCGAACCCGCGGGCTCAGGCAATTCACTCACCTCAGCCTCCCAAGGCACGGGATTACAGGCTGAGCCACCGAGCCTGGCTTGGATCTGTCTTTCTAAAGGGATGGCTCACTCCCACTTACTATTTCCTCCTTTCCCTGCCAGTGACTTGAAATGGCACTTGGGTAAAAACTTTATAGGCCTATGATTGGCTTAACTTTTCTTTACTCACAATGTCTGCCCCCTTCCTGCCAAAATAATCAAAAAGACAAATTTCCTAGATTACTCACGCTATCACCAGTAATAAGACTTACCTGGCAGCCTGAGTAGCTTGTAGCTGGCTTTCCAAATTGTTGCTATTTATGCCTTTGACAATATCATCAACAGACCAATTTACAGTGCCCTGAAAGAAAAATGATGTTTTGCAAATTATCATGAAGATTAAGTACTAACAATAAAACCCGCACTTGCCAGCCAAGCCCAGTGGCTCAAGTCTGCAATCCCAGCACTTTGAGAGGCCGAGGCGAAAGGACTGCCTGAGCCCGCGGGTTTGAGACCAGCCTGGGCAACTTGGCAACACCTCATCTCTACAATAAATCAAAAAACTATCCAGGTGTGGTGGTGCACATCTGTGGTTCCAGCTACATGGAAGGCTGAGGTTGAAAATTCACCCGAACCCAACAGGTCGAAGATACAGTGGCTGTTGAGCGTGCCAATGCACTCTAGTCTGGGTGACAGAATGAGAACCCCTACTCAAAAAAAAAATCAAAAACAAAACAAAAAACACACACTTGCCATTGTGAAGGCAGATATAAAGTGTTTAGGTGTATAGCCAGTGACTAAAAGTTGAGCCCTACGTTTAATTTTGCCTGTTTTTTTTTAGTCTCTCTCCATTACCTCGGCCTCCTAAAGTGCTGGGATTACAGGCTAAGCCACTGGCCTGGCCTGCCTGTTAAATGTTGTTTGTTTTTTTGAGTCAGTCTCACTCTGTCGCCCATGCTGGAGTGCAGCGGCATGCTCACAGCCACCATGGCCTTGACCTGCTGGGCTCACGCCATCCCTCTCCTTCAGGCTTTCAAGTAAGTGAGACTACAGGCATGTGCCAGCACGCCCAACTAATTTTTTGATTTATTGTATAGGTGAGGTCTCAGCAAGTTGCCCAGGCTGGTCTCAAACCCCTGGGCTCAGGGAATCCTCTCACCTCAGTCTCCCAAAGTGCTGGGATTATACGCATGAGCTACTGCGCCCGGTCAAATATTCATTATTTTATACATAGGACAGTTCTCAAACTTGGTGTCATAACTCATTGGAGTCTCTAGTTATGAAGTATCCAAGTATTTTTGCAATAAAAAAGATAGTTGTACCTAAACCTTAACTGTATCCCATAATTCTAAAATAAAAAATATGTTAAAAAAAAAAAAAGGCTGGGCTCAG